AATGTATTTAAATAGATTTTCCATAGTTAATACATTATGGCATTTCCCAAGATAGCAATGAATTTCCATATCACATAACCTGTCGTGACTCCGGGATTTGAATCTGTTCCGTTGGCAGATGTGAGCTCGAGTGAAGAGGATCTGGCAGTGAAATTTGAGCCCGCATTGCTGAGTGATTTCGAAGATAACCAGGATGAGGAAGTGGACTTGGCTATGAGAGATGAACCTAATTTATTAGAGCTGACAGAGTCTTCTGCCTCCTCCAGTTCTCCCTCTCTGATTGTGCAGCAGCCGGTGGCAGATAGTCAGGAAAATGGGCGAGAGGTTTCAGGAGAGGAGGAGGGATTTGAGGGATCCTGGCTTGATGTGAGAAATAGACGGAGATTGAAACGTCAATCTCAATTGGGAAGGAGGCGTCGAGCCGATGATTAATTGATGAGACTAACACGCCCCCTTAGGGGATAAAAGGAAACAGATGGGCTTGAGAAATTTGCCAGAAGCAAAGTGTTTTGTTGGAGCGAAAGTCTTGTGAAGATTATCTGAGGCATTGTGATTTATAGGCACTTCAGGTTTGCCAAACAGATAACGGAATTACTGCTGAGGACTGGAAAAACTTCAGCAGTTATCTTGTTTGGGGTTTGTTTCTGTTTGCTTATATTTTTTGGAACTTCAGAATTGTGATTGCTCACCTGTGGATACAAGTGGGGCATAACAATAACCATAACTCATAAAGCTGGAAGGGACCTCATAAGTCAGTCCAAATTCATATCAAATTCATTTTGACATTCCCTAGTAAATTGTCCATTTTCACTTACTTTTAAGGGCTGTGCAAGATGCAGTTTGTCTGCTGTGAAATTAAAAACACTAAGATAAATCATAAATTGTTTCATTCATAGTTAATAGACCCCGAGATTTCCAGAATTATTAGCTGGAACTGTGGTCTTCATTAATTCAAATATTTTTGAATAACAAGAGTAAAGATAAAGGTTTTATTTGCTGCAGATGTTTGGAGAGCAAATCAATACCTCATAAGTGTCAATCTTTCCCAAGTGTCTTGGTAAGTAGAAGATTAAAATGTTGGAGTATTTTCAAAGGTGCTGTAGGCTTTCTAATAAACATCTCTACGTTTCCTTTTTTGTCTCATACAACTTTATAATTTTTTCCCTTTACTATGCTATCACTGCCAAAAATCCAGTTCCACTTGAATCTATATGTACTATTTCAATTTGAAAACACTCTGCTGCAGTCAAAAAACACCCTAGGCCAAATTTCTGTCCTTGGTTACAGCAGTGTATCCCAACTTTGGCCACTTGACCATTGGTGGACTTCAGCTTCCAGTGTTTCCCAGCCAATATGCTGACTGGGGAATTCCTGGGCCACACATTTTCAAGTTGCCAAGGTTGAGAAATGCTGGATTACAGGATAACATGTCAAGTTCCCCTCTGCTTAAGTTTCTGATTCCCAGAGAGCCACATCACAAAGCCTAGATCATTTGTTATTTATGAAAGACATGGTGTAATTTGAAGTTCAAAGGTGGTACTGTTTTGCACTTTCAGTTATATTGGATTTTGAAGGGGTTTTTTTTCCCCTTGCAAACCTAGAATTAGACCTCCATCAAAGGTTTCAGATTTGGAGGACTAGAGGCCCACAGATATTTCTTGGGGAATATTTAAGGTAAATGTGCCATTGTTGACATAGGAATGACTTCCTGTTTGCCTTGAACATAAGAGGTAAATTGGACAGGAACCAGGCACCCAGGAATCCAGAACAATAATAAACCACCATGGACCTTTAGTTGGGCAGCCAAGCTTAGAAATAAAGTAGAGATTGGAAATTGTATATGAACCACATATTGAAGCTCTTTTTAGGAGGCATACACATAACAAGCGGGCTTTATTAGATATAAAGCCTTGATTTTATATTCCATTACATGGATTTATTTCTTTGGTTGCATTATCAGGAGCCTGTTCGTTTTTATCAGTTTTTGACAAAGTTTTGTTCTCAGTATCTCATTCACTCAGCCTGAATATATGCTGAGTATAGAATTGGAATGGGTTATTCGATGACTTCATTTCCCCCCATCAACTGCAAACAGTTGATTTTTGACAGCAAGATTTTTAGTATGTTGTTCAAAACAAGTGGTAGCTGTGGGAATGGAAGACCCGTGACATTACATTTTGCATGAAAGTCATCGTCCATCCCTCGCCCAATCATTCTGAATTTATGGGAGTGCCCAAGAATAGAAATGGAACCAGTTTAACTCCCATTCCCAGTCTTAAAACTGTTGCCTAAAATACAAGCATGTGTTGGGGAAGAAAATTCATAATTCCCTTCTGTTGAGGTCACTCTGAGGTCTCCAACTAGCAAAGAAAAGAATGTGTGTGTCTTGCTTAAATGGGAGGTATTTTATGAAACACTTCATAGGACAAGAAATGTAACCATGACTTTTCTGCAGTTTTACAAAATGCAAAATTCTGAATTAGTTCCATCAGCTATGTCTAATCTGCCTTGGATTTTCTTGGGTGGTAAGAAATGGAAGACAGTGTCTGGTCCTTTTGGTACAGCTTGGCCACTGGCTGGCTGCCCATCACAAATTAACATTTTTGAGAAGTCATCCTTTTAATAGTTTTCAGTTGTGGGAAATATACAAGACCATCATTATTAACTAGTCAGGTTCTAGATTCTCCAATGCTTGGAGACTCAGCCTTATTTCCTGAGACAATGCAGAATGTGGCAAGCACACATTTCCCTACTGTTGCTGTGCTAAACTCTTGTCTTGACAAAATCTTTGTAATCTATAAAATGCTTATTCTAATATTGGCACTTCAACTCTACATAAACCAGCATATATGTTAACATTTATGTTGCTATAGTAAGAAAATGACCTGGCTGAGCTTTTTCTTAATCCCAAAAAGAGGATAGGAAATCTTTCAAGATTTTTTTTCCCTGTCTTCTGATGAACAGAGGAAGTTTTTGTAGAGGTATTTTGGTTTATGTTGAAGAGCTTGATTACCACCAATAGGCACAATAATGTCACCTTCCTGCACATCAGCTTTAAAAAAAAATCAAGGGCAGTCCAGACCTTTTGGGACCACAGAGCTATGGGCAGAGAGGGGAGCATTCCAACTTAGCTAAAGGCAGCCAGTTTCAGAAACCTGCATTACATCGATGTTTTAACCTTCCAGTGTGGTTAGGAAGCTGTTATTTGCAAGCTGGACACCATCTTTGCGGTCCTTGTTTTGTGTCAAGTTGTAATATGTAGTGCTATCTTCTGTTGGGTTTGAATGGGAGATAGAATTTTTCTCCAATTTGCTTCTTCATGAAAATGATCTCCAAGCAGGTGTGTGTTTCAGGAAAGGGCTGGATAATAAATCTTTCTCAGTAATCCTCTGGGCAATCTTGAATGTTATAGTGAGACGGTTTTGGGACTTTCAGGGATAGATGGGAGTTGGGAGGGAGGATGGGCACATGGTGTAATGGAGCAATTTGTAATTGCTTGTCAAGGATCCAGTTTGGGTCTCCTGTTGGCAAGACACCTGTAAAATAACACAATCTGTTTTTGTTTTGTTTTTGGTGGGGGATAATAACTTTATTCAAAACAAAGATAAAGGGTAATTGGGTCAAACAGTTTAAAGAGCTACAGATTTATCAGCATCTATCTTTTCCTCAAATTCCATTCATGGTTAGCTACAAGTAAATATTTGAAAGTGAGACTCATCTGGTCTTTTTTATTTTGATTCTTCTACAATATCTGTGAGTACAAAGCTGGATTTTCCAGCTTTAAATCATATGACAAATTATTCCAGTTCTACTAATATTTACAACAGAAAACTGGCAATTAATTGTTAGTTCAAGCTCTAATGAAACAGGTAAACATTTTCATTTGAGAAAAGGGAATTTTCCAAGTGTTTCTGAGCAGTATTGTGATATTTCTGACATGGATTTTAAAACTAATTTCTAATTTAGTTATGTAAACAATTTCTGCCTCTTGTTGTTAGTCCTCAGTGCCTCACTAACTTCTTATTTTTAACTCCTCAGTGCCTTTTTTCCTAATAACCAGTTTCACACTGGATTCTGATGATGAGGCATCTTTTTTCAATTTCAGCTGAATATCCTGCTTTTCCTTGTTTTTCCTTAATGACATTGTTTCTTGTCTCAGATAAATAAACTGTTTTGTTTTGCTTTGTTCTCTCTTTAGAGTTCTTGTGGCCATTTTGTGCAAGATGAAAATTATTTCCAACTCTTTTAATAGCTGCTGTCAGGTTATTTAATCACTACTTTCCTCTATCTTTGATTGTATACCCTAGGCCATTTTATATGGAAAGAGAAAAATAGGTATGAATAGAGAGAAAAATAGATAGCGGCACAGTGGCCTAGAGGTGAAGCCCTTGTCTCCCACTCAGAAAGCTGAGTGATCAATCCTAGGTAGCGGCAGATGTTTCTCTCTCAAGACACAAAGAGAAAATATCTGCTGAAAACTCCACAGGAAGGGCATCCGGCCAGTCAACCCTCAGCTCCATTCAGTCGCCCCGACCCCACTCTGAAGTAAGGGATTAAAAGGGTCGTAGAAAGAAAAAAGAGAGAGAAATAGGTGTGAATAGATTTCAGCCTCTTTTCTATCAGAATTTCAGTCCATTGACTTCCCTTGGAGTCAGCCAGACTTTGCAAATAGGTTTCTAAGTGCTAGTTGTATGAAATCACAGAGGTAGAGAGACAAGCAACTAATGGACTGGAACCTAGTTCTCACATCTTCTGGCCTTCAATTGTCAAAGAGGCAAATGAACCGTTACTACTATCATATAATTCTCAGAATATTTATAGAATTAAGCTTCCCAGTGCTGACATGAAACATACAGAAGATGCATGCAAGCTAAATCAGAACTGCATCTGTGCTTCTAAAATGTCTGTAACTGTACTAACAAAAAACCAAAGATCCTGGAGAGGGTTTTCTAATTTCTCTCCCGCTTTTCCCTGTTTTGTTTTGTTTTTCTCCCCCACAGCTTACTAAGACAGGTCCAGGTGTCAACTGCCTGGAGTCCATGTGTTGCTTCTCCCATGGGGAACCAGCCTGCACACCTTTTAGAAGAATGCTGGAGCGAATAATGAGACGGTGCAGCCCCACCCAAGTCAACAGGTGTGGAATTTCTCTGAAATGCCTTTGCTGCAGACAGTTCTCCTATAAACTGGAACACGATGAACCGACAAATATAGATGTCTAGTCCGAGACAGGAAACCGTCTTCCTAGGTTCAGTCTGAGATCTTCAGAGAAGATCCAAATTTGTGCTTTGAATGTGGGGGGAATGAGAGATCGTTGCGTTAACTGATTGTTGTTGAAAAACTGGTTGAATAGTGGGGGTTTTGGGTTTTTTTTTTTGTTTTTTCTGATCCCGTAACTGCTATTGTGCCTTTAGTGGCTTCAGTGTTATAAGCTGTCTCAGGCGAGCACTCCCCTGCTCTTTTCGAGCACCGGCCAGTGATTCACAAGCTTTTCACGAGCTTTTTCTTGCTCTGAGCTCCCTGTCAGCATCATTTTTGCCTTTCTACATAAACGTGTGCGTTTCAGTATAGTTTCTCCCCCTTCCCTTGTATGTCTTTGTTTTCCCCCTGAAAGTCAGACCCCGGTCCTCATTTCCCTCCCCTTGTGGTTTTAGCTGCTTTGCCTTTTGAACTCAGAAGGCTTGTCCTGTGTTTGATCACTATGTGTCTCCCCTTCTAGACATGTCTCCTTTTAACTCCAAGGTTTGGGGTTTTCTCCCCTGAAATTTTCACTTCGGGGTGGTGGGGAGGAAAGTTTGGTAGGTTTCCTCTATTTCTTGCTCAGCGACTGTGTGAAAATCAATTATTTTTAACATTACGAAACAAAGCTCATATTTGAGTAAAATAATAATCGAAAGCCATTCCAAATTATGATTAAAAGTAGACCTTTTTTAACGAACACGAAGCCATTCAGAAATAAATGCTAAGCCTATTTATGTGTTCGCTAATTTATACAGGTCTGGTTTTTTTAAAAAATTTTTTGAAAAGATCCTCAACAGGAGTATCAATGAGAACCTTTCTTAATTTACAGAAGGTTCTGTCTTAAAACGGACAAGTGAAAACTCTATGGAGATGCTGTAGAAAGAGAAGGTTAGGAATGAGTTTTTGCCCAGTGTTTCTAATCCCAGGTTACGATTGTTTTCTTCTTTCCTTGATGATATTAGCCATCCTTCTGAAGCATTATTTGAGAGAACATTGTTCAACCTTGGTCACAATTAAACAGCAGTTTGAGTTGAGATAAGATGAGATCAAGCAAATTATTAGGGCGAGATTCTCAGTTTGGGGGAGACAGACTTGAACAAAGTCCTCTTGGAGGATACTGCTTTCAAAGGATCAGGAGAAACATCTGAAGATCTTACAGATGGCCCACACAATTTGGGAGTACGGCTACCAGGTCTCTATGGAAAAAAAGCCAGACAACCATTGGATGGCATAGAGAGTTAGTTTTCTCTTTATTTGCTGCTATCCGTTGGTCAGCTGGATGTTTGCAGTCCTCATTTAAGGATGCAGTAGCTTTTTACTAGTAGCTAGTTACTTTTAAAAAACTGTTGGAAAACTTACTGTGGACACTTCTAAATTGTAATTTTCATGCTCAGCTCCTCTGAATATTTCCTTCTCTTATTGATTTTTTTTTCTAAAACAATGTCCTCAAATGTGTTAATCCCTCTGCAGCTCCATTTTAAGTTTTTACTAAAATGATTGGTTTTTTTTCCTTCATAAAATGGGAACTGTTACAAGCCTGATTTAAAAAATAAATAGTAACCTGTCTCTCTTTGTAAAGAAAGAAGGCAAGATGTATAAAATAAAATATTTCCTAGACATTTTTAAAACAGGAGCAGTATCTGATTGATCTAACAGTAGCTTTTTCTCCCCCGGGGTAATGATTTCTGACAAAAGTATATTTGCACCTCTTGGATATCCTCTACCATTAGAATGCCTACCTGCCACTACTATGATTGGAGTTTGTATGGAATGAGGTCTTGTCAGTGTCAGGGATGCCTGGCAAGAGGGTATACAGTGTGTCTCTGTAATTCACCATGCAGAGATACTTTGAACTCCCTCCTCTGCATGTTTCAGGATTACTTCAACCCAGAGGCGTACACATTGCACACCAAACACAGAGCCTTGATCAAACCATCATGGTTGCTGTCTTTACTTTTTAACCAGCCCCTGTGGATAGTCCTACTTCAGCCCCCTGGTCAAGGAGAGCAACCTTGATTGCACCAGAATTTTCATATCAAGCTCTTTCATGTCCACCTTTTAAAATGATTGTTATCCGCCTCATTCTTACATGGGAGAGAGAGTTATGTTTGTAGTCACTGTTGGGTTGTGTGCATGCAACACATGTGTTCCATTCAGGCAAAAACATAGCAGATTCATTCTCATTATATGCTAAGCTTGACTGGTGTAACCCTGGCTAGTCTTTTTCTCTGGTTTAGCATAACGTGCAGACTATGATGGAACCAGAGATTGTGCAAATCCACAAAAAGTGATTAAATTAGTTAATGATGGTAAGCATGCAGTCTGAATGCAGATTACTTGCGTTGGAAATTGAAGTTATTTTGAGAGAGGTTTACTCCTATCTCATTAGCCCCATCTTAAGTCATACGACAATATGATACTACATTGTTGGAAATGAAACAAGTAATATATATTCAGAAGTCTGTGCTATCTTGTTCATTGTTTAATATAAAAATGTCACTCAGAGAGAAGTTCACAAGTCCTAGCTATGGTTCTTGCAAAAGGTAGGTATCGCCAGCTTCAAAATCAACGTTGAATAAATACATCTTGTGATTTTTTTAAAAAAATTTTTTTTCTGTTTTCTGTATCTTAACAAATACAAGTATATGGTTTGACTCTCATGTTTGATAGAAGATGAAGTACTCCTCCCTCATCTGATCTGCATGCTGATATGTGGAAGATGGATTGCCAAAATAGTACTTTGAAATTCTGCTGGTTTTTCTCCCAATTAGGACAAACTTCTAAATTGTCGTTAATGTATGTTTTAAAATACAAGGTTTAAAATTGTACTGCCTTCCAGGCACATTGAATGGGGTCTAAACTAAAGCATTTCGTAATGCAACAATTGATCTAATTGTTAGAACTTGATTCATTAAAATCAAGAATTTAATGGTAATGACAATCTGGGATAGTACAGTAATTTCCCAGATTTGGTTGGGACCAAAATTATTCGGACATATAACCCTTTGGAATATAGTTTCCTACCTAAGCAGAATACTAAGAAAGGCATATTTTCAAGGTGCAAAATTCTTACCTACTTCATAACCATTCCTTATGAGCAGGCATAGTCACCAAGGTGACTTAGCCTTATATTTTGATTTGAGAATGTATTAGTCACTTTTCTTGCAATAGTAGCTGACCTGGATAGAAGTTAAAAATATTTCCACAGTGGTTTACAAAAATGATCCATAATGCTTTACAGAAGTGACCCAAATAAAATGTTTTCTGCAGGCCATTTGTTCCATTGTGAGATAATTAGTAGTAGTAGAGATGGAACAAGCTTTTTACTTCATCTGCATGGCATTAGACAACCCTCCACGTCTGTCTTTGTGGAGGTGATCTACCTTATCTGAAGCCCATAAAGATAGGTCTCAGGTGGAGAGTTCAAGACTCATATCCAATTGGCAGATCTGCACTACCCTAGGATCTACACATCTAAACTGATTTATGTAGGTTTTTTTACCAACTACTAGAGAAAATTGTGTTACCAACCAAATCTTCTTTGTACTTGATATTCTGTCAAATATGAGGATCAGTGTATGAAATCAAATCTATTCAATAATTTGGATGAATGATCTCATATTTCATCTAACTGTGTGCTTAAATGCTTGGAGTATAAAGGAAAGAGATACAGTACCTAACATGCTCTTTAGCAGAGTGAACGTCCATTTTAATTAACTCAATTAACAAAACCTTAGAGCCATTTCTTGTTTCCATTGGGCATAGTTTTCTCCAAATCATCAAAATCTGTTCTTCATTTCTCTTCCATCAAACTGTCACTTGCATTGATTGCTCCAAATTCAATGTTGTGTTATTAAACATATTCACTTGCAGTGTTTTGCTCAGCTGATTTTGTGTGGCTGGGGTAGATATTTGCATGGTCTTTCATTTGGGGTGGTTGCACACCAATGATGGAATTCCTTCAGTTTCTTAATAGCTCTGTTTATTGCATAATCAGCATTCTAGATGCATGAGCCTGGTAGAATACAGGCCCCGTCTTCTATGAGAAGGAAAGGTTTTAGAGCAGGGGTGGGGAACTATGGCCCTTGCTGTGTCAGGAATTCTGGGACACAAGTCCACAAGTCATAAAGGGCCTATGGTTCCCTACCTCTTGCTTTAGAGCAGGGGGTCTCCAACCTTAGCAACTTTAAGACTTGTGGACTTCAATTCCCAGAATTCCTCAGCCAGTTTTGCTTAGCCACAAGTCTTAAAGTTGCCAAGTTTGGAGACCCCCTGCTTTAGAGCACGCCTGTGTGTTTACATAAAACCTTCACGCCTACGGAACTCTGGATTAGAGTAACCATATGAAAGCAAGTCAGGTTGCAGCTCTGATTTAATAATATGGGCCTTCCCAAGAAACATATGCAACCCTACCATTTCTGATCTTGGTTCTGGGGATTTTCTGATTCTCTGTGCCTGATTTGCCACCAGAACTTTGGACCATATCTTAGTCATTTTGGATATATGTCTCTGAAAACGCCTCTGGGACCAAAACTCTGGTTTCCCATCAGCAAACGTTTCTTTCTTGTTGTTACTTTAGATCATGGAGCTCTATGGAACCTTTCTGTACCAGCGATGGAAGCTTCTTGACGTTATCCACAATGGAATCCATTACTTGAGACTTTTCTCAATGCCTTGTGGAAAAACCATGACATCTTGGTTGTAACCAATCTACCAGCCCCTTATGGCCTCCTTTTTAAATGTCATGGCCAGGTTCATATATTTGGGGCAGGCGAGGGATTGAAGCCTGGTATTTGCAACAAATACTATTGAAAAAAGAAAAACTGTACATTCCAGTGGAAGCATTAGCATTGTTTAGATGGATGCTATTAATTTTCCATGGTCACATTAGCAATAATAACTTGCTAGAAACCCTTCAGAAAAGTGATTGCTTTGGTTCCCAAATATCCACAACTGATTAGCAAAATAGGAGTGGCTTTGCTAAACTGGGAAACGGTATTCTTCTATTCTTCTCCACAAGATGCATAGATCTTCCTTCATAAATTGACTTAGCTAATTCTGAAAGATTTTGAACATGCATACTCTGGAGAGAGAGAGAGACAGAGAGAGAAGTTCCCTGAGGATGGACTCCAGCATAAGCCCGAAAACTTGGAAGGATAAACCTCTGGTCCGACTCAGATTGGATCCTGCAACATTATCTTGGGACACATATATTTACTTTCATTTGCGAGGGGGAGGAAGCTGTTAAATAAATTAGCTTTATTTCTGGACATTCTTGATTCAAATTTGGGGGAAAGGATGCTTTTTGAGGCATTACTTTTCTCCTTCTCCACTCCTCCCTTCCCAACCATTTATTTAGTCATCTTACACTCTTGTTGAGAGCACTTAAGAATTCTCCCTGATTTTGCAGGGGCGGCAAAAAGAGGAAAAAAATGCAGCCACACTTGTATATAGTTTGTGTCAAATGAAGAGCATGCTGTTCAGGACAATAAATGAGATGAAGGCCTTTAGCCAAAAGAAATTGCGTCTGTGAATTCTTGATCTCAATCAACTAGGGCTTGGTGGGCCACAAAAGGACCATTGGAAGCATTCGCTCCCACGTTTTTCACATGAGATGAAAAAGTTCGGCATTTGCTATTCCGGTTCTACCCTCTGTGGCTGGCAGAGAACCCATCATAAATGATCGGGGGGGGGATTTTTCTTTTATGCCAACAATTTCACAATTTCAGAATGCTTCTCAGGGTCCCTGCGGATCAGTTACAAGGTTATCTTCCCCTCCCCATGATTCGGGGTGCAGTTGCCCAAATGGCAGGCCCATTGCTTTCAACATGGAGCAATTATCAGACACTTCCACTGTGTAAACTCTCTGAACTGGCTATATACTTGCATATCTTTTAGGAATGCCAGTTCCTTTTATTTATATTTTAATGCTGATATCTTTTTCCCCTGTTACGAGCCAACAGATTGATTCAATACGTCGGTTTTCAAACCAGAGAACTTTAAGATGTGTGGACTTCAGTTCCCAGAATTCCCTAGCCACCCATGCTGGCTGGGGAATTCTGGGAGTTGAAAAACCTACACTTTGTAAAGTTCCCAAGTTTGAGAGACCCTGCTGTGTGTTAGTATGTTAGACAAAGCAGAGCTTTTCAGGGAAATGCACCTCACAATCAGCAGCCTGCCCTTATTTCAACATGTTTAATGTGTTCCCCTTATTCCAAATATCATTTACTGGTTTTATTTCTATCCTGCCTTTCTAACCCCGAGTTCTCATTTAAAGAAGCATCATTTCGTCACTGTCATAGATCCATAGATCACTCATATCCATCCTTTCCATTCTGGTTTGTCTTCCCCCCCCTTTCCCCACCAAAACTATCCCCACAATGAATTGTGAAAGGATCCAAAATTTCAAAAACGATCAAAACTCCAAGCATTTATTTAAATCCACATCATCGTGCAATTAATGTTTCTGCTTTGGTTTTGTATGACGTTAGAATTTAACTCTTTTTCTTCGCAGATGTACAATGACTGGAACTGACTTCCATGTGTTTTTCGTTTTGTTTTTTTAAATTCCCATTTCTTTCTCGTCCCTCCTCAGTGTGTGTAAGGGTGCAGAAGAAGCATGCATTTAAACAAATTCAGGAAGAGTTTAAGACTCCATCTATCCAAGCCGGGTATCAGTTTCTAACTAAGGGGCAAAAGTAACAACCGAGTGAAGACCTATTGTTTGTTCTATGACCAGCAATTCGGGTCAAATGGAAGGAAAGCAAATGTATTATACGTCGGATCACCATTAAGTTTCGTCCTTTCTTTCTCTGAATGTTTTGTGTATTTCAGTAAACTCATATTTACTTCTAGGTTGAGGATTAGGCCAAAAATACATTGCAGAACAGAAAAAAGAAAACGCAGGAAACTCCTGTGAAATGAATGAATGACCGCAGATAAAGCAATAACAGTTGAAATAAGCCAAGGAAGGAAGACGATTTTTCTTCATTATATTTTGGGGGGACATTGGGATAAATTCTCTTAAGTCTTTTGAGAGTCTGCAGAACACGAAAAGAAAGCCATTTTCCTTTCCATCAAGACCAATAAACTTCATGGACGTGGTCATGTCATTTTCTTGGCAGCTATTCAGAAAAGGATTGTCCCATTTTGTGGAATGGTTTTCAACTTCCCAGTTGAGGCTCTTGCTCTGGCAACACTCACTTAGTATTTTGCTCCACAGCTTTCCACCGAGTTGCAGAATCCCCTATTCCAAACAAAGATGCCATTGATGTTGTGTTCGGTCTTGGTCCTGGGTGAACAGAGTGGAGCATCTGACCCATGAAGCCCGGCGGGGTAAAGGATTTGGAGCAGAAGGAGCTCAGTCCTTGATAGGGATGGCGTTGAAGAACTCAAAGGGCATCAGATCTGGGTTGGTCTCAGGAATTTCTACGTCAGTTGCAGGATGAGATGTTAAGGAGCACGGAAATCCATCTTCTGCATGCTCACTGAAAATGAAGCAAGCCCCATTTTTCTTTCCACCATAGGATGGTCCAGGTTTCATCCCCACCCACCCCAATTTCCAGTGAAGCATGGCACCATATGACACAAAAGAGTTGGCGATATGGCTGTTTAAAAGAAATAATTTAGGGTTGACTTCTATCCTCCCATTCAGTCGCCATAGGTACACAAAACCCACGTTACAAATCACTTATTTGATCACTTATTTCTTTATGATCCAATAGACAGTGATGCCTCCTCAAATTCAGTCCATTGTCTTTGCAACTAAAAAAACAAACTAATTTCTCACCTGTGCCAGATTGGATTCCCCCCCCCCCATATGAACTTAAACTACAGTAAAGGAGATTGCAGTGCAGGAATTTCCTGATGGGAAGAACTGCTAACCAATTATTTGTCCAAAAGGATTTAGCAGGATTCCTGCGCCACATAAGGCACTGAATCAAATTATCTTAGTTATCCCTTCCAACTCTATACTTCTATTATTTTATTCCTGTATGTCCTATTAAGAAAGGTGGTGCCATTATACAGTTTTATTAGTTTGGGACTTTTAACTAAAGACAGGTAGGGAAGCGTAGCTGAACTTGTATAAAAACTCACTCAGTAAATCAATCACACTCAGGGAAAAAGATGCATTTTAGATTGCTAAACATTGCCCAGCATTCCAAAGAGCATAAATGTACTTTTTTTTTTTAGCTTGAACTTCTCTCAGGATAAAAGGAATTCGCATTTTGTTCGAAAATGATGTCTAGATTTTCTGTATTTTTTAATAAGTGATCAGAGACTAGTGTAAAACTTCAAAGCTCAGTCATAATTAGTCACTCCAATACTGGGTTTCTATGTATGGAAAATAGGAGGAGTATTAATGTATGTTCACTGCCTTGAATTACTTCTAAAGTAATAAAGGCAGACCAAAAATGTAACAAAAATGGAGTTACAACCAGTGATGGGGCAGATTTGATACATCGACAAATCAGGTAGTCCTTGACTTACAATGACAATTGAGCCCAAAATTTCTGTTGTTAAGTGAGATATTTTGTTAAGTGAGTTTTGTCCCATTTTGTGACCTTTCTTGCCAGTTGTTAAGTGAATCACTACAGTTGATAAGTTAGTAACCTGGTTGTTAAGTAAATCTGGCTTCCCCATTGACTTTGCATGTCAAAAGGTTGCAAAAGATGAGCCCATGATCACACGACACAGCAATGGTCATAAGCATGAACCAGATGTCAAGTGTCTGGATTTTAATCGTACGATCATGGGGAGGCTACAAAGTTTGTAACTCTGACAAATGGTCACAAGTCACTTTTTTTAGCGCCGTTGTAACTTTGAACAGTCACTAAATGAACTGTTGTAAGTCGAGGATTACCTGTACATATATTTTGTTTTTAAGTATTACATTTCTTGTTCAATTTTGTGCATAGGGTTGTTGTCAAGATTGCTTTCTTGGGTGCTAAGAATTGTGTTTATTCCTGTTATTAATATTAGCTACATAACATGGGTTACTGTCTAAAAAAATTGAGATTAGTTCAACTGCTTGATGTGGTCTTCTGTAGGCACAGATGAACTGTCTACCAGCAATCTTGAGTATGCCTCAAGCTAAACCATAACATGCTGGTTTGGCTGAACAAGACACAGTTGTAACCATACTGTGGCTACGCACTTAATGCTCTTAAGTCAGGAGTGTCCAGCTTTGGCTGTTTTTTAGACTTGTGGATTTCAACTCCCAAAATTCCCTAGCCAGCCATTCTGTCATTCCACAAGTCTTTAAAAGATGTCAAGGTTGGACACTCCTGTTCTAAGCCAGGGGTCTCCAACCTTAGCAACTTTAAGACTTGTGGACTTCAACTCTCAGAATTCCTTAGTCAGCCATTCTGGATGGGGAATTCTGGGAGTTGAAGTCCACAAGTCTTAAAGTTATCAAAGTTGGAGACTGACCATGCCACTGTCCTGCTTTTTCAGAATTCTTCCCATGCCATTGACTTAATGTGGGAGTCTGTAGGTCTTTGTCTACAAATAAATTGATTTAGGACTGCAGTTGGGCTGGTGATCCAAAATATATGTTGCATGGAGAAATACTCTGTTTCAATACCGGCATCACCAGGTAAACGTTGAAGTAACTCTCCTGAAACTTAGGAATTCAATTGCTGGTTGAATGTTATGGTAGAGGTAGTCCTCACTTAACAACCCCAATTGGGACTGGCAACGCCACTTCTAAGTGGTGCAGTCGTTAAATGATCACCCAAGGTCATGGAGTGAGGCATCATGTGACTTGTGATTTCACTGCACTCCTGGCTTGTCCATTGACGTTGCTTGTTGGAAACTGGCTGTGGAGATCACGAATGGTGATTTTGTGACAGCAGGATGCTGATCGTCATAAAGGCCCACCAGCTGTAGTGTGACCCAGAGAGGCTGCAACAGCTGCAAGTTTGAGGACTGGTTATAAAGTTGGTTTTTGCAGCGCCCTTATAACTGGTTGCAAAACAGGATGGTTAACTGAGGACTACTGAGATTTGATCTATCATAGGAGAGTTTCTTTTAATATGCATTGTCATTGTAGTAAACCTAGAATTAGAATTATTTTACTGGCCAAGTGTGATTGGACACACAAGGAATTTGTCTTGGTGCAAATGCTCTGTGTACATAAAAAATACATTCATCAAGAGTCAAGAATTATAAGGTACAACACTTAATAATAGTCATAGGGTACAATAAGCAATCAAATCATACTAGGAAACAGTCCAGCAACCTACTAACGAAACTGGTCATTGTTGCAATATGGAGATTGTAGTTTCTTCAATGTAAACTAAGCATTTACTAAAGATCACCAGCCATCCTAGGACAGATCCAGTAGAGCAGATGAAGTAGAAGGTATAATTGTAAAGTTGCTTTTAGTTCTTAGTAGTGGATGGAATTAAAGGTAGATCCTAGCTCTAATAAAAAAAAAATCCCTACTGGCTAAGTTGGTGCTGTCACCACAGTTTTATTTAAAATAAATAAATAAATGCTAGCGGTAATGTAGCAGTAATGCAGCAGTAATGCAGCTATTTCAGACATTTGGTCCTTTGTTCTGTATTGTAGAGGTTCTTGAGATAAATTCTAGAAGTTAAAAATGTTTTAAAGCTTCATCCTCTATAAACAGTAACCCATTTAAATTTGTGGTCCTATGTGTATTTAATCTGGGAATGGCTTAATTAAACATAATCATGCTTAATTGTGGGGGGGGGAACATAAAAGATTATGTGTTTAATTAATAAATTGATTTCAGCAAGGCATAACTATCGACAGATTAGAGCCAGATGTCTGGTTTTAAAGAAACCCAACATAATTGACAGTACCAATTATTGTACTTTCCAAATGAATGGCCATTGTTTAAGAGAAATCCATCCCTATTTTATTTTAGTAGTAGATGTAGAGATGTACGCGCCCGTTTTTTTGTAAAATGCTGTATTTTTGCATTTTAGATTGCAAAAGAAATGTTATTCCCACTATGCCAAAGATGGCTCCCTTAAATGTGCTTAATTGATTCTATCCTTATGCTCTTGAAGAATGAACCTAAGGGATGATCTGTTTTTAAACAAGCATGATTGCGTTTACTGGCCTTAAATTTTGGAAAGGGCACTGAATATTCCAGTTGGGAGGACAGATCTCATTTTGAGTTGCTTCGGTCGTGTGCAGTGGTTGGAGCAGAACAACTGGAAACAGGAGCAATCACTTGGTGGTCCAAAGGACTCTTGAGTTCAGACACTGTGATCATCCCACCATCATAAGATGCTTTGTGGCAAAACGGTCGAATGCAGCTTCTTGTACTGCTATGTTAATACGTTGTTATACAAAAAAATTATGGAAATTATATTTATTGAATAAAATATTTTGACTTTTAACTGCCTTGATTTTATTTCTGAACAGTTCAGGGATGATGAATTGCAGGTTGAACGCAGCAAGTCTTACAAAAATGCTGCGCATGGACAGAGTTACAGAAAGGAGTGTCAGTTTTTGGACAAAACGCAAAGCCTTGATTCTTTGCTAAAGATTGTTTAAACTTTCATCCAGTTTTATTTTCAAACTCTTACATATGTTGCTCCTGCATATGTGTATCATTTTCCTTCCATTGCCTCTCAAAACATTCCAGGTTCATTTACTGACATTGAATCTAATTCAACCCACAGTTGAATGACATGAGAATGATTTGAGATGAGGTTTGAAATGTTTCTTTCTCATACTTGCCTCAAATGCCTTCACTGTGTTGTCCCTACTCTCTCTCTCTCTCTCTCTCTCTCTCTCACACACACACACACACACAGTCTGATTAGATGATTTGGCACATACATTTGCAGAACGTGCTACGCTTTTAAAGAGATACCTCACCTGGAGTACCAACATTGAGCCATAAACTAGCCAATATGGGCTATTTGAACTCAGAAAATAAAACCCAATGAACTGATTAATCAGGTTTTATGAATGCAGCCATAGTATAAGAAAGGTCCTTTGCCTGTTGTTTCTCTTAATGATGATTATTTTGACACCTGGCTTTAATTGGTGGCTTCAATCCTTGGGCTGTTGACTCAGCGTTACCCAAAAAAAAAAAAACCCTGGCAATACACGTCCCTAGGATACTGCCGAAAAAATTGCATCCTTATTACCAGGCATTGAGCTAGACTCAAAGTCATTTTTACTCTGCTTTTTAAGGTACCTGAGGATGAACATTTCATAGCACCTGAAATACCTGTTCCTTTTTTTATTGTAATAACGGATTTGGCACTCTCTCGAGTTGCAGCTAGCATTCCCTGCCTTTTCTCAATGACACTTTTTTTATTTCTGCAATGGGCTGACAAGAGCTTCTTTTTAACCACTGGATCTCTGAAGACCACAGGTCTAGCAACTGAGGTACATGATGTGCAAGCAACATTTAGGTGTTTTCTAAAAGGCAACCGGACTATGTTTTTTCCTCGAAGATGTTTCGCTTCTCATCCAAGAAGCTTCTTCAGTTCTGGTTAGTATTCTTCAGTTCTTCAGCCAGACTTAAAGAAACTTCTTGGATGAAGAGCGAAACATCTTTGAGGAAAAAACAAAGCCCATAAACATCAAGGGAAAAAAAACAAAGTCCAAATTGTCTTTTGGAAAGCCCCTTTGGGACAACCGTGACCTGGATGACTGAGAATCTCCAGAAATATTCAGTTGAAAATTACCTGCAGCTATCCTTATGCTAGGCTTGGAAGATGTGGCCATTACTCCTATGCAATGGTCAAATACAGGTAGTCCCCAACCACCTGTATTTGATCACTATTCATTTAGTGCATTTTATAATGGCCACAGCATCCCAGGGTAATGTCATCAGCAGGTGTGACCTTTCCAGCTCTCTCCCAATAAGCCAAGTTAATCCGTGAAGCTGATTGGTTTAACAACTACATCATTAACAACTGCAGTGATTCACTTAACAAAATGTGTCAAAAAAAAGAGTCTTAAAATTGAATGCAACTCAAGCACCGCTTGCTTAAGCAATGGAAAAGTCTGGTCCCAACTGTGATTGTTAAGTCATGGACTCAAGTAAGTTAAGGTCAATCTGGCACGGATTGTGAAACACAGTGATGTGCAGTGAGACCTTGACAGGGTTCGTGGTCTTCTAGTGTAGTTCCTTATTAACCATATCAATAATGCTCTTTCCGTGCAAAATCTGAATTTTCTTCAAACATCCTGAAGATTTCAAGAACTGCATATTAATCCATCATAGGCCAAACAAAGGCTGAAACTCACATTCTTTGGGTATGTAATGCAAGCAAGCGATGGACAAGAAAAACATGAGCAAGGTTGGAGAAAAGGGGAAAAACAAGATGGATGAACATGAGTAGGGACAGCCATGGAATATCATTGGAGGGGAGACCGATTTTTGATGGGATCAGGTCAAAATGGTAGACATTTATCCATACAGCTGCCAGAGACCAAGCTTCGTTCAATGGCACCCAACATCTCAACAGCAAAACAAAATCTTCATGTATTGTTACGTGTTTTTATGAAATTTTTTAAAAAATCAAATATTATCTGTACATCTTGCTCAAAAGTTGACCAGCCAAAACTTTTGGACGTACTTTATAATAAGCATTGTGTTTAACTCCTTTAAAGTTAGGGGGTTTCTTTAAAAAAAAAAAGGCCTTCAAAGGGGCATCACAGGGTAGTTTTGAAGAAATAAGTTACTTTATTTAGCAGGTTCACAATTCATAGCTTTGGACCAACCAAAGAAAACATCAAGGTACCACTTTGTTTTTTTTCTCACCCCACAAATTAGAAACTTCAAACCATGTTTGGGAAAAAGAAACCCTTCGTTTGTGCAACCATAATCTATATTTTATATGGCAAGCACAATGTTAATTTGCAACATTCTCTTATTCCTCTCCTCACCATGATTTTTTTTAAAAAAAAATAAAACTAATCAAGAAAGAGTCATTTTGCTTCTTTTCCAATGGCATAATTCATGTGAAGGTTTTGCCATGACAATTGGGCTAGTATTTTATTGACTTTGGATTGCAGAAAGTATTTTTCTCAGTAGTAACAATTCAAATCACAGAAAAATTGTTGATCGGGTGACTGAAATAAAATTACCAAGTGATCTGCATGGCTGAGAAGATCTAGTCTTACATACGACAATAAAACTCCAAAAGTAGATAAGGTTAAAGCATTTACTGCTTGTCTGGTATTTGGCAAAAGGGAAATTCTCTAGGAAGGGTTAAGTTACCGCTGGATGCACACATGGGTGGTTTTTATTAATTAAATCAACCCAAGTTGAAAATCAGTTTCCATTTTTAAAACTTAAAAAAAATCATGCACACATACATGGGGATATGTCTGAACATTTTTAGTCTTTGCTAGAGCCAGGCATTTTACATTCAGAAACAAATAATTAAGCCAAATATTTCTGCCACTAAACACAGTCAAACCCTAGCACCACTTTGACAGTACACGTCCCACTGAAAAGCAGGTGACCAATTTTTGCCTCTGGATTTAAAATCACTTTTTAAAATTCAAGAATGCTATCACACAAACAACCTCAGTTTTTCTGCTACTTAAGACAGCAATGCTTTATGTAATGCAGTTTTATAATTACACAGTAATTATAAATTGTGTAGTACCAAACTGATGGCAAATTCCATTTTGTTGAAAAGGCCTCAACATTGCAAAAGGAATCATCTTAAAAAAACAAGTACAGCATGGCATCTATGCCCTAATCTTCAGCACAGGGATAGAATTCAGTACATCTTGTTAAAATTAAAAAATAAAACACATACACACTAAAACACAAAAAATACACAGCATACATCAACGACTCATTCTGAGAAAGCTGTACCCAAATTTTAAGACAGAAAAACGCACACCTTGTAGAGTTTTCATAATTCAAGTTTTTGCTGATATTTACACAAGAAACAAAGAGTAAATAACATAGTTGACTTTGCCAATTCCAGCAGCTAAAAGATTTCCAATTTTATTCAATGGTTTCCTTAAACTTTTCCAACAGGTTACCGAGGGAGTGGCTATAGGATCCTGACAGGTTGTTCTTTAATCAAGCAATTAAGGTTTTTCCTCCTATTATTTTAGCATCTGCGTAAAAAGTGCATTTTAATGACATGGATACAAGAGACATTAGCAAGAAAACATCATGAACTGTATCAAACCTGCCCTTCTCATTTTTAAAAATTACAAAGGAAATACCTCGAATCCATGTTTCCAATGTTGTTCTATTGAATGATTATTTTTTGTTTAAGAAAAGGGCAAAGTGGTGTTAAAAACGAGTAAAAGCCAGGAGGTATTTCAAGTGCTGCTATCATATAAAAACACAAAGAATAAAAAACCACAAATGTTAAGTTAAAAAAAAAAAAAATCTACGGTTGGACAAAAAAAACAGTGGCAAACCAAAACATACCAGGGCCACAGTGGGTGTAGCATTTTCGATCTCTCATCATGATTGAAAAACCTGAAAATGCTGCATCTCTCTCTACCTCTGGATCTCCCTCCACCTGCCTGGGTAAATTCTTTCCATTTAAGCACGTGTTTCAAAATGGTGAACCCTTTGCAATAATTGCAATCTGCGGACTCGAGATAGTTCCTGACTTAAAGTACATCTTCTGGTTTTCAACTAGTCGATGCTAACTAGTTCAGTGAAATTCAAAGCTTAAATATGCTTTTATGCTGGAAAAAGAGAAGAGGGGAATGAATGTATGTAGGTGGGAAATCTCTGGGGCACTTAGTGATATCTGCAGCAAGTTGCAGTGGCCACTCAATGACATGCATGTCATGATGTTTTCATGCCAACGCTACACTTACACGTGTGTCTGGTGCAAGCATTGACATGATGAGGGCATCGCACATGTCGCCTCCATCCCCTTTGCTGGTACCCAAAAGGACAATCTTGATTTTTTTTTTCCCCCCTTTATCACTAAAAACAAAATTCTTAGTTACGATCCAGCCATGGTAAAGAACTTAGCTACTCTCCGTTTCTTATAATGGCAAATCAAGTAAAAAAGGGATTCTCTCTCTTCCATTGAAAGTGCTGAACCTATTTGGTTGGATTACATCGATACAATTTCGAGTGGCATGGAAAAGATGGATGACCAAACGGAGAAGGCCCTGCTATTAAGCGGGAACTCTATAGTTAGTAAATCATTACTCCACACATAGACCCCCCCACTGCGGTCAATGCAAAGGGGGGGAGGGGGAGAGGTTTCCTCTTCGTGCAGTTGCTATCTAACATCCTTCCCTCATCTGGAGGCTATCAGACTTGCAAACCCTCTACTCCCAGTGTCAAATCTGACATTTTAAATATCCGCAGGCATCAGGCTGGTGAGGTTTGCATAGGCCCACAGAAAAAGCTTGCTCTGGCCGCTGGGATGGTCTCTGTGTGATGATCACAGTGAACTGCAGTTGTAAAACAAAAACCCACTCCAGGCGAAGAAGGCTCCCCCGTGGTAGTCCTACTCACAGTCGGGTGAGTTTGGCTTATGCTACTCAGCCTCGAATAAATTTGCATTACATTCATGGTTATTTTGGAAAACCTTCCCGGGCTCAAATCAAAAGAGTTTTATAAAATGTAGCAAGTATTACAAGTTGAGTATTGCATTCAAGTCTTAACAATTCAGTAGATCTTAGTGGCTGGCGGAAGGAGAGAGTTCCTTGAAGAGAACATGAGCATTTCAAGGCTAATGCAACTGGGCAATTAATGAACAATGAATAAGACTGGGTAACTGATGAAATTCCAAGACTAATAAGACTGGGCAAGTCTAAGAACAGCAGCAAGCAATTCCCTATTCCTGCATTAGAGTGCCTACTGGTCCTTACTGGGCACAGCTTCACCCATTGAAACTTAAGAACAGCCAGGCTCAATAATACTCTAATTTCAACCACTCCGTAAAAAATAATAGGGGAGACGGAAATAGCAGTGATGTGATCTAACGTGGACGGGTTCTCTCCCTTTGGGAATATGGAATAATGATCCAATTCCCAGAAGAAGCTGCCCACACCTGCCTCAGAAACAGTGTGACCCAATTAAGTTAGCAGGAACGCTACCGGTGGTCAGATGAGAAGAAGCACTCCGATATCATCCTTCTTTCTTTTGATGCCGCACACACAACATGGTGCAGAAACAAGGTGGCCTAGAGCTGTGGTGCTCATCAGCAAGAAAAGCCACCCATCAGCAGAAGCAAGGATGCTAAAGGAAGCTTCATCCGTCTTGGACATGAGGCACCCAATCCATCTGATATCAAAGGACAACGCAAAGTCATTAGCCAACGACCTAAGTGTCAACACACCGATGCAGCTGGCCTGCTCCACAAAGGGACAAAAATCCAGGTTTTTGCTGGGTCTTTTCGACATCTGCTTTCAACCACACAAGCAAACAACAACAACAACAAGCCCTTGCCACTCACACTGACAACAGCTGTAAATCAACCATTTAAAAATAATAATAATAATAATAATAAAAACAATAATGGATCCAAACACACTGTTTTAGGATAGTCTCAGCACAGTCGTTGCAGATAGCCCCAAAATATGTTAGCTGAAGATAATTTTGTTTTTCCTCTCGGCTTTTTTAGAATTAGGACAAGTTGGATTGTGAGATCGAACTGTGAAAATGGGAATACCAAAAAAAGAGTTTGCTTGGTGACAAAAAAAAAAAAAAACAGAACGTACTTTAAGGTGTGGAAACCGGAAATGTCAAAAAGAGTCATCCAAAACCATGAAAGATCTATGGAAAGCATTAGGAGGCTCCGTTAAAAAAAAAACGTGGGGTGGGACAAGATGATATATCCACAATGCTGGAGTTTCCGAGGGGTAAAGGGCAGCCCAGGCTGGGAAGAGAGGGCCAAGCCACCTGTAGTCTGATATGGTCCAAGGTAATAATCCTTACAAGTTTGCAGCCACCCTCAGCTCTTATCTCTTGAGGATTGATCTTCGGTCCAGTTCAGTCATTGGCAGAAAGGGACTGCAATTTTTTTCCCCATTGTGTTTATTTGTACAGACTAGGTACATGTTAGAAGGTTCCGATAGCACTAAACTGTCGTACTTTTGATTCCAGCAATCTGCGGTCGTGCAAATTCCACAAAGTCGTCGATAAGAACAGGCCAGGCGCCTGGGGGGGAGAAAAAAAAAAAAGACAGCAGAAAAAGACAAAGGTGATTAAATCTTCCCAACTTGAAAGACCATGCTTTTTTTTCTTTCTTTCTTTCTTTCTTTCTTTTTTTCTTCTAGATCAGGGGTGTCAAACACAGACCACGCCCATCCCAGCTCCGCAAAGGGGGGGGGAACCGTTGCCGATAGGTCACGTGACGGTAACATGATGCCACAAGTTTGACACCCGTGTTCTAGATTCATAGAATGACCACAGATAAAGGGATAGTTAAGACTGCAGGAAAAAAACAATGGCAACCAGCCTGCCTTCCATTAAGGACCTGTACACGGCAAGGATCAGAAAGAAGGCTGAGAAATATATATATATAGACCCCTCACATCCAGGACGTAAATTCTTTTAACTTCTTCTCTCAGGAAGATGTTGTGGGGCATTTTGCATGCCAAAACTACTAGACGCAAGAACAGTTTTTTCCCCTCATGCCATCACTCTGATGAACACCTGATTCCCACAACACTGCCTCACTTCCCATCTTTCTTTCATCACCTTATCTTTCCTGCTGGCTTCTTGTGATTTATCAAATGTTATTATTAATTATTATTAATTGTTAGCAGGGGGCTGGACTAGAAGACCACCAAAGTCCCTTCCAAGCTCTATTCTGAATGACTGTTTGTAACTTATGATTAATGATTGTAACCATGATTATGACCTATTATTTTTGTCTACCTATTAATTTGTAAATTTATCTACCTATTACACCATTTCTGACAAAGGGACTCCAGTGGCCTAGAGGTGGTGCTCTCGCCTCACAATCAGGAGGCTGTGAGTTTGATCCTAGGTAGAGGATAATATTTGGAATAGACCGTCCTGCTCGAGCAGGGGGGTTGGACTAGATGACCTCCAAGGTCCCTTCCAATTCTGTTATTCTATGAGTCTATGATTCTACTTGCTGTTTAAAGGTACACTGTGAGTTTATGCACTGGAGACAAATTCCTCATGTGTTCAATCACACTTTGCCAATAATGAATCCATTTTATTCTATTTTCTATATTCTATTCTATATTCTATATTATCTTCTCTTCTAGAATTGAGGAAAAGTCCCCTCAAAATCATACTTTCCATTCCTTATTTCAAGCATCTCGGTGTTCCTTGTTGGTATATTGGGACAATAATTAAAAGTCTGCCACGCTCTCCTTCTGATGTGAAATGTATGTGTGTATTCGCTAACCCAGAAGTCAATAGATTGGGCTCTGTGTGAGGACAAATGATAGACTTCACTCACCAGCAACCTGCATTAAAAATGTCTCCAAACATGCAACCTTACCAGTTATCCTCCAGCAAAACTTCCTCTGTGTTACCTTGCTTTGTAGTTCCACTATACAGGTAGTCCTCAACTTATGACTCCAGTGGAGCCCAACATTTCTCCTGCTGAGTTGTTAAGTCACCTTTGCCCCATCTGTGGCAGCTTTGCCCATCTGCCCCATAAGGCAACTCAACTCTGGGAGTTGAAGTCGCCAAGTCTTAAAGTTGCCAAGGTTGGAGACCCCCTAATCTAATGGACATTGCTTTACAAAATGGGAGAATCAGCGTGTTTTCTCCTGCTGAAATCCACCTACATTTTCTTTCCTTCCTTGAACAAAGCCTTCCTCAGTTTTATTTTTCCCCTCTCCTGAGAAATTCAGAACTAAGCTAAAACATGCTTCCCAATCCTGGAAATATTTGCCTCCGCTCCCAGAGTGTGTCTTTACAATCAGCTCCAGGGAACCGTAGCCAGTGAATCTGGAAGAAGACAAACTGGACTAGTTTATCCTTCTCTCAACAAAGCAGGCAAAACAAACCAATAACAAACAAACAGAAAAGCCAATTGATATTAAACTTTTTTGCCAGGGTGTTTTTAAAAGGAACAATCTAAGACGGTATTTCTTAAAGAGTTTGCTCTTAGGACCCTTCCCACGTTTAAAGATTAGAGAGAGCCCTAAAGCAGCTTTTCTTTGTATGGGTTATATCTTATCAATATTTGCCATGTTAAAAGTTAAAATTGACACGCTCATCAAATAATTATTTCTTGAATCGTGAGAAAATAGTAGACCCAAATAACAAGGGTGACGCCGATTCAAATTTCTGCAAATTAACTTCAGTGTCTGGCAAATAGTTGTGATTTGACAGACGCCCTCGGGGGTGTGTGTGTGTGTGTCCCAGAACCACTTAACCCAAAAGGTTTGGTGTAGGAGACGGAGACCCTCAAAGAATCAGGCCCTAAATTGTTACAGGATTTAAAGGCCCTTAAAAGTCAACAGCAAAATATATTAGTAGGCATTTGAAGCAATCAAGAGAGAAAAAAACATAGACAGAAAAAGGTGTGACAGAATGTTAAAATGGTGCAACCCATTTGCCCAGTCAATAAACTGTTGAGTTGCAGAAGGGAAACACAGCAGGATTAGTGACTCAGCAGTAGCTGGTTTGGCAAGCTGGTTTTATTGAAATAAGGAGGGGGAAAAAACCACCTCGGAGCAGGGAAATGACAGTGAGTGCCATTCATTTGAAAGCCGAATTTTATACCGTAGCTTGCTAAAGGCTGGTTCATCACCTTTATGACAATGACCAACCAGTCTTCTTTTCAAATGTTGGACAAACAGATCACTGTTTACTCCCTGGATTCTTCACAATTATCATTTTTTTAATAACCCTCTGAGAACTGAGGAACAAATAGATAAGGTCTGAAGAAAATGACTAATGGACTTTAGCAGTGTCAGTGGCACGGAGACAGTTTGGTCTTGCGCTTAAGGCACCAGGCTAGAAACCAGGAGGCTGTGAGTTCTAGTCCCGCCTTAGCCATAAAAGCCAGCTGAGTGACTTTGGGCACATCACTAAGAGGCTGTGAGTTCTACTCCTGCCTTAGGCATGAAAGCCAGCTGAGTGACTTTGGGATAAACACTAGACGTCTGTGAGTTCTAGTCTCACCTTAGACATGAACACTGGTTGGGGGACTTCGGGCCAGTCATTTTCTCCCAGTCCAACCCACCTCACAGGGTGGTTATTGTGGGGGAAATAGGAGGAGGAAAGAGTATTAGGTATGTTCGCCACCTTGCGTTATTTATAAAAATAAAAGCGCGGGGGCGGGGGGGGGGGGATAAAAATAAAAAATTGGGAGCTAGGAAGCCAACCTGGGAACATCTGTTAAAATATGAACCTTTGGACCAATAGTTCCAATAGCACCAAGAAGCAACATTACCTTCCTCGTCATAATTTGACATATCGTCTGCTATCATTGCACTGAAGTCTAGAAGAAGGTTCCAAGTGTCCTTCGGTATAGATCTTTTATGATGTTCCTGTTTGAGAGAAAATCCCACCGTCATAATTCAAGACCCGACTTATCTATTGGTTCCTCAACAGGAACGTATGCTTAGCGCACTGTGGCTCTAAGAGTGGAAATCTCTCTTCGGGTTTCTTGGACAGCAAGGCGGAAATGATCTCTAGGTCAGATCTCGGGATCGTTCTAAAGTAATGGTGTTTGCCGAGCCCCATGGTTCCGCAGAGCAACGCGGCTTTGCTTCTCAGAGCTGCTTAGTCCATTGGTTGGAATGAAGCAGGACTGGAAAGGCATGTGGCTTCCAGACTTTCGAAGCACTGAGAGGGGTTGTTTTACTTCCGCTGAAGGGCCGCTGCTGTGCATTGGCTCCAGTGCAGTGCTCAGAATTAGGAAGGCTTTGTGCTGCTTTGGGAAAGGCCACCGAAGGAGGCCTTGGTTGGAGGCTCAGTTAAAATAGTGCTTCTTCAAGGCTTTGCACCAGATTAAATGGGCTCGTACAGAATTGACAAAAGCAGATATGGTCCAGATAACTCCTAGACAACCCTTCCAAGGCCAAGGACACATTTAAAATGAGTATTCGTATATTCCTTTGTTCAGTCAACAAAATTTCACTGGGTCAAAAATTTGCCATTAAAACTAAAGATTTTTCTTTTGGGATTTCTGATCTTATTTGTTCTTTCCCTTCCTTCTTTCTCTTTCTTTCTTTTCTTCCCTTCCTTCCCTTCCTTCGCTCCTCTCTTTTCCTTCCTTCCTTCCTT